AGACCGGCTCCCCCCCCCTGTCTGGCTTTCAGAGCTAGTCCCTGGTCCCCTCGCTGCGGGCAGGCTGCAGACAAGTGACTAGCGCCCTCGCTGTCTCTCTACCTGCTCATACTTAAAACGGAGCTGACAACGGATCGGTGAGTCTTGCTAACACGTGATCCAGAGCAACAAGAACCAGCCTCCCCCTGCCCCCTAGGGATGGGGGACATGGCAGGCTAACGAATTGTATCCTGCACGTTGACTTGAAAGTTGTTTCCTTTTGCGCTGTTGGTGCATCGCTTGGTTGTTCAGACAGAGTGGGGTGGGTGGGGGAGTCCCCAGGTGAGGAACGGGGCCTGTCTAAACGGGTGGAACCAGCGTTCTGACGTGTGTGTGATCGCCAGGGCTGACGTGCCAGGGTCCTAAAAGCTGCTCTCTCCCTTCCCACAGCCGACCGGCTTCACACTCGTCTTCAGTGACCTCCACGTCTACGCCAGCATGTTCAGTGTGGTTCTCATGAACTACACCTTCATGGATGGCAAGTGTGACTACTTCCAAGGTAAGGGCCCTCGGGGAGGCGGCGGGGGGGGGGGGGTTTCTACCCCCCTCCCTCCGCCTCTGACAACGTTCCCGTGCTTCTCGAGCACGCTCGGGCCAGGGATTGACCGTGCAAAGGGGCCTCACCGTGTCCTGTGTGCGTGAATCCCAGTCAGTGGCTCTAAGGCTAGAAAGTCTTCTCTGCTCCCGGGGGAAGGGCAGCTTTCCTTAAAGCCCACAAGACAGAATGGGGGCTTGAACTACAAGCAGAGGAGTTGACAGACATGCTGGGCCCTCTGTGCTCCCAGAAGGGGCGGAGCCTTGGGCAGAAGGGGCGGGGCCATAGCAGCCAGGGATTCAGGCCTTGTCCCCAGGCCCTGAGAGCTGCCCTGAGTGTGCAGTGTAGCAGTTTAAAGGGCCTGGAACTTCACCCTGCTGCTGTGGGAGTCAAGTGGCTGAGTTCATGTAACTGGTGGGTGACTCGGCCCCCACAGGCAGTCGCTCTGGAGCAGGGATTGTCCTGACCTGCTCTTATCCAGCTCCCAACGGTCCCTTCCCTTGTCCGTGTGAACTCCCGGATTCCGTCCGGAGCAAATGGGCAGCTGTTCCAGCCAGTGCAAACTCCTCTGTCCCAATTCTCCGTCCCTGTGCCAGGGCTGGACTCCCGTTCTCCTAACTGGCTGTTCTCACTGCCCCAGGTACGGTGCTGGTGATGGTCTACTTCATCCTCATCGCCGTGTATTTCTTTGCTCCTTCTCCTGCCGGCTGCTGAGGCCTGTTGCCATGGGAACTTGCGTGTTGACTTTAGGAGAAGGTTCCCCCCACCCCGGGGCAGCTGTTGCCAAAAAGTTGAGTGTCTCGGATGCTGGCTGGTTTGGCTTTCACGTGAAAGCGTCTGTTGCATGAAGCCGAGGAACCTGCCCCGGAGCGTGGTTTTCCTTGAGTTTGTGTGTTAAAAGCCGGGATTGAATTGGGAATGGCTCAGCACTGGGGAAGGGGGTGCTGTCAGGCTGGCCACTCACTCTGAACCCCAGAAGGACCCTGGAATGATGCCTGCTGTGACCAAGTGCCGAATCTGCTGGATTGCACACGGGGGAAAGTCTGGCCGAAGCTTTCGACCGCTGAAGGAGGCCGTCTTCTCTTTCTGCGGGGAAAGCCAAGGTGCTGTGGTGAAACAGACCTGGGGAAAAGGCCTCTCCTATCCTCCCAAGCCCGAGTGCTCCCTGCGTGTCACACCTCAGCCTTTGCCACTAGCCGGTCAAACACACACAGGTGGCTTTTGCTCTGACTTGAAGTTGGTGGGTTTTTCCAACTGTTCTGATTAAAGCAGTTTTGTACAACCTTGATGTGGTCCTTATCTGCTGGGGGGGGAATGAGCCTGATCTTCTAACCAAAGGTCTCTGCAGGGAGGCAGATTGTAGTTAACTGACTTATCAGGTTCCTTGTGCCACTAAATGACTGACAAGTCAAGTTCTGAGCCCTGCCGCTGGCTCCCATATAGTGGCCCTGGTGGAGGCTGCAGAAGCAAACTTAGACCTTTTCCTTGGGCTACGTTAGTCTCTCTGCTACCGCGTGATGGAGGGACATAGGTGGCTAACAGGCAGCACCTGGCTTCTGCCTCTGTTTAGTCCATTTTGCCTTGTGGTCTAGAAGAGCTGTCGGGTGTTCTAGTTAAACTTGGCTGCTGGAGCTCTCTGACCAGGCTAGGGAGAAACAGCCTGTGCTGCATGGGGAGACGCAGTTTCCTAAACCTCCCTCCCTTCGCCCCCTGCTCCAGAGACGGGATTAGTCGGGCCCCAGCTGCAGGAACAAGGCTTGGGCCTAGGTACCTTGCACTAGCGCTACAGCTGTACGACTGGGTTTCAGAGCCCCCTCCCTGTGGCCTTGTTCATGCCGAAGGCTGTTCCCTTAGTATGGATTCACGTGGTGCTCTCGTGTTGCAGAACGCTGCCACAACGGCAAGGCGTGGTTGCCTCGAATCGGACCCAGCCCCGGCTGTGCCCAAACGCCCAGGGAACACCAGCACCACCTTTCCACAGTGCTTTCCCTGGCATCCTGCTGCACCTCCCAGTTGGTGGCTGGTGTGTGTTCAGGGGCATGCCTGGTACTGCAGGTGCAACTGCAGCCGTGCCGCAAGCTCAGGTTGTGGGGGTGTCTCTACAGGGGCTGCCTGCAGCTAAGGGACCTGGACACTTCTGATCTTCATGTCTGTGTCTTAGCAGAGGGCTAGTGCCAACCTCCCTGGGCACAAGTGAAGCTAATGTCAGAAGCCCTGCTGGGGGGGAGAGGGGGGTGCTGAAGCAGCATCAGTAAGAAAATGATGCTGTCTGTGTTCAGTACAGGGCTGAGCTGGGACTTGCCACACCAGGGCCCCTTACTGAAATGGGGACAAGCAAACAACTGGGCATAGTTGATGTAGGCCCCAGGTGCCTAAGGACTACGGTCGCATAGACAATCCTAGAATCCCAGGGCTGGAAGAGACCTTAGAAGGCCATAAAGTCCAGCCCCCTGCCCAAAGCAGGACCAACCCCAACTCAATCATCCCAGCCAGGGCTTGGTCAAGCCGGGACTTAGGGATGGAGATTCCACCACCGCCCAAGGGAACCCAGCCCAGGGCTTCCCCACCCTCCTAGGGAAATAGTTTTTCCTAATATCCAACCTGTTGTAACTTGAGACCATTGCTCCTCATTCTGCCCCCACTGCGAACAGCCTCTCCCCATCCTCTTTGGAACCTTCCTTGAGGTAGCTGAAGGCTGCTGTCAAATCCCCCCTCACTCTTCGCTTCCGCAGACTAAACAAACCCAAATCCCTCAGCCTCTCCTTATAGGTCATGTACTCCAGCCCCATCATCATTTGTTACCCTCTTCTAGACCCCCTCCAACTGTCTACATCCTTTCTGGGGGGAGAGGGTGTGCCCAGAACTGGACACAATACTCCAGATGTGGCCACACCCCAGTGCTGAATAAAGGGGAATAATCACTTCTCTAGCTCTGCTAGCAATGCTCCTTCTAATGCACCTCAATATGCCATTTGCCTGCTTGGCTACAAGGGCACCCTATTGACTCTCATCCAGCTTCTCATCCACTGTAACCCCCAGGGCCTTTTCTGCCACACTGCTGCTTAGCCAGTCGGTCCCCAGCCTGTACCAATGCTTGGGATTCTTCTGCCCTTGGGACAGGACTCTGCACTTGTCCTTGCTGAACCTCATCAGGTTTCTTTTGGCCCAATCCCCCAATTTGTTTCTTCCTCTTGGGCACCTGACATGCATAAAAGGTTCAGTTTACCAGTGTGGTTCCTCTGGAGTATCTGAAATTCAATGTGATGCCCCATGCATGGGTCACCAGCCAGGTTTGCTCAGAGCTTTGCCTCCATCACACCCAGTAGCCTTTGCCCTCATCACCAGGAACAGGACCAGGCTCAAGCTACGAAGAGGAGATGGAGAGAGTTTGACTCTGATGTGCAAGGCTGGGCTCTCTAAGAGCCATGTTACTGCTGGGGCTTCTTGCTCGCTTCCTTCCTCTGCTACTGCAGGCTGCTGGGTGGTAGCACCAAGCCCAGGAAAGGCCACAAGGCTCCAGGAAGGGAGCCTGGTGAGCACAGAGCATGCTCAGTACCGATGGACTCTTGGAGAGCTGGGGCTTTGGTTGCTGGGGGCCAGCTGGCTCCTGCCATCCCAGCTGGGCTGGAATAATTGGCTGCTGTAAGACATCGCTCCCCCACTCCCCAGCATGCTGCAGTTCAGCAGCAGGGAGCCCCAGGAGCAAGCTGGCTGCACTGGCTGTTATGCAGTCATGTAGGTTCACCCCCCGCCTACTGGCTGAGGGAGATTATCCCATCTAGGGGCACTGAGACACCTCACAGAATGAATCTGCTCTACAGCCTTAGCTGAGCACCAGCTGGCCTTTAGCCTCAGCTGTAGAGGTTCACACCCGGTTCAGTTCTGCCTGTCGGTATTACACCAGCAGGACCTATTCTCAGCTTCCCTGACTGATGGGTGTCTATCCACCCTGCTCTTCAATAGCCCCCAGGATGGAGATTCTACAACTGCCCTGACAGGTAAGCTGTTTTCCCTAGAATTTAAGCCCATTGCGGATTGACCAATTCAGGAGAACAATTTTTCCCCCTTTGTAGCAACGATTTAGGCACTTGAAAATGATCACATCCCTGCTCAGTCTTCTCCCGATTGAAAGAACAGGGTTTTTTCCATTGGCCATGGTTTCCAGACCTTCAATCATTGTTGCTCTTCTCTGGACTATGTCCAATGTGTCTACCCCCTTCCTGAAATGTGGCATCCAAAACAGGACACAACACTCCAGTTGAGGCCCAATCAGCACAGAGGAATTACAGCTCACACCTTGCTTTTAACACTCCTGCTAACAAATCCCATAACGAGGTTTCCTTTTTTAAAACATTGACTCCAATTTAGCTTGTGGTCCATTCTGACCCCTAGATCCCTTTCTGCAGGATTCCTTCCTAGACAGTCGCTTCCCATTCTGTGTGAGAAACTGATTGTTCCTTGCTTGGCATTTGTCCTTCTTGAATTTCATCCTATTTCAGACCATTGCTCCAGTTTGTGCACATTATTTTGAATTTTAATCCTATGCACTGAAGCACTTGCCTACGTGTGCTTTCTATGCCATTACTTAAAGCACTGATGAAGACATGGAACAGAACTGATCCTTGGGGGACAGGCCCCTGAGAACTACGCTCTGGCTACGTCTACCCTGCAGGCTTCTTGAGCAAGAACAGCCATTCTTGCGCAAAAAACTTACAGCATGTCTACACTGCACATGCGTTCTTGTGCAAGTAAATTTACAGTAAAACATTGGAACAGAGGGCTTCTTGCGCAAAAGTGGCTTCTTGACTCTCTGTATGAGAAAGAAGACTATTGCGCAAGAAATCCTTATGGCTAAAGTGACTATCAGAGCTTTCTTGTTCAAGAGAGCATCCACACTGCCATGGCCGCTCTTGTGCAAAAGCACGTGGACGTGTGGACGCACTCTTGCACGAAACAGTTCTTGTGCAAGAAGCCTGCAGTGTAAACGTAGCCTCTGAGAGCAAGGTATCTGCCCCCGTAGCTTCTAGAGCTCAGCTCCATTTTTGCACTGGTGTAAGTCGCTACGGGAAGGGACCGGGTCTCTCCCCATGACTGCTCAGTGGCCTTCGAGTCAGAGCAGCAAACTTTCCTCACAAAACAGTTTCTAGTTGGAGATGTTTTAAGGGCAGCCTTTTGCTGAAACAAGCCGGGCTAACGCATAGGCATTTAACCCCGCTCCCATGCCTGCCTTGATAGACTACTCTTCTGCCAGCCAGGGACAACACCTCCCTCCCAGGCACAGTCAAAGGGCTGGTTGCCAGGGAGCAGAAACGCTAGTCATGCAACCGCCAGGATGTGGTTTGAAGGCTATTTAGTAGCAGATGCAGCAGGCAGGAGCAAGAATGCATCAACTCCAGAGAGCTGAGGTTCAGACGAGAAGCAACTCGAAACAATCAGAATTATTTCCACTCGTGGGCCACCACGTTCTTTCCTAAATCCACACTGGCTGCACGTAGCATGCTTAATAAAAGGAGAGTTGGAGCCAGTGTGGACAGACAAGGAGGGAGAATCATCGGGTTTTCAACCAAAGTGAGAGGACAGACGTTGGGGCATGCGAAACAGCTGTCAGAGCTGCCTTCGAACACCTACATTGCAACCAGCGCTGCCCCTACTCCTAAGTGTTTTGTGCTTAGATCCTTGGATTAAAAAAGTGCTTTTACGGTATCTTTGGAAGACATGGGTATAGAATCCACCCCTTCTCCCCACACACAGCCACGACGGGCCCCTTGCTGCGAAGTGAGCTGAACATGGCACGGGTAGACACAGAGCCAACAGAAATGGCAAACACCAGCAGCACAGGGGACGTTAAGGAACGAAGCATGTGATGGGGACAGGGGTGTTTTTATTGGATCTTAAAAAAGAAAAATAGCAAAACACTGACAAGGTCTATAAATACAGGCAAGTACATCTTTTGGTCACCCCTTCGCCCTCCCGCCGACCCAGCACGACTCCATACTGCAGCACGGAGGGAAGTAAGGAATGACCACCCATTAGCTGCATGCACAGCAGACTCCCACACTAAATAATACACGGACAGGGCTGGGATGCACTGACTTAATGCCAGGCTAACACAGGGGCTGGCCCCACGCTCCCCAGCTGGGAAGAGGGCACCAGTTCATTCCTCAGCACCAAATAAACTGCATGAACACAGCCCACTTCCACCCCCACCCCCCACATCCCTAGAGCGAGAATAACTTCACACTGGACTCTGCATCCATTCCAAACAACACGAGAACATGCCCCTTGGGTCTAGCAGCATCTAGCACTGGCTGCTGCTGGCCTTCGATGACCAGGGTGGGGATGGAAAACAACAGTAGAGGGTTACAAAGCATAAGATTGGGTAAAAATCATGGCAACCGGATTAGCTGGTGGTTCCCCTTCAGCCACGAGAGTTAGTCACCATGTTAAAGGAGCAATAAACGAAGTGCCGCGGAGAGGCAGCTGGGCACTGAGGACTCAGGACATTCGATAGCAACAGATTTATGGCCAGCACATTGTGGAAACATGGGGAGAGGAGCAGTGGGCGTGAGCCTCCAGCATCCTCGGTTGGCTGGCAGCGTGTGGTGCAGGGAAGAG